CCAGGAGGCAGGGAGGGTGCCTGCGGGGTGTCCCGCTCCACACTGGGAGGAGCGACCCGGCTGGCGCCTCGCTCTCATCGAGGACAAGTGCCCTCCAAAGGGGTGACGTGACCTCCATGCAGCTGCTCGTGCTCAGGAGGTGCCTCAGCCTGCCATGTCCCAGGCAGATTTCCAAACATCCACAAATTTCTCAGCAAAACCATGAGAATCGGGTGCCTACGTGCCAGGCAAATCTCAGCCCAAGGGCTTCCTTGTTTCATCCGTGGTTGCTTCATGCTTGGCCAGAGCTGTAAGTGGCAGAGAGGCTGCAAAGGGAACTGGTGCCACCAGCCCTCGTGCTGCAAGCGCATGGCCGATGTCCCGCTCACGTGTGTCCTTCCCTTCGCATTTGGGTTTCCCAGAAGCTGATGCCTCTCTCTTTCCTTCAGCTATTTTTTTAATCCCTCCCTTGTGCTCTTTCTGTCCCCATCTCACCTGCCCTGTCCATTCCAAAGCACAAACACCCGCCTCTGCGTGAACTTTCCCGGCACACTTTATGCCTCTTTATTAGCTCCACTGGAACACTCAAGGGAGATTACATGATGCCTGGATTTTCTTGCAGTCCAACTTGATATCCTGGGAAATGGGAAATATTACTGAAAAGCCAGGGCATGGGCCGGGGTGCGGGAGGGTCTACGCTGCCGTTGTTGTGCAGGGGATGCGACCTGGGAGGTGTGTGACTATTTGGCTCAGGTGTTTATATTCCTTTTTGTTCTCTTGGTTATGGGGGCGAGGCAAACGTGCCCTATGTAAGCGGGGTCACTGTGCAGGGAGCCGAGTGCAGGAGGCGGCGAGAGCAGCAGTCGGGAACACGGGAAGTGACTCTGTCCTTGCTCAGCTCAGGGGATTAGCGCCAGCTTCTTAGGGAAGGAAGTAAAAGGAAATGAGAGAAATAAATTCCACAGAACTTGATACAATGTTAAATTTTGGGAGATTGATATAAATTCACAGTATTTTCAGATGTGAAAGATAGGAGGTGTCTATTTAATGTGCCTCCCCAGGGAGGAATTAGCTGATTTCTAACATGAGAATACACCCTGGCTGAGGCAGAGACCTGCTGTCACTGCACTGCATCACAGAGGAACATGTCCCTTTGAAATTTCATCAGCTAGAAAATCAATGACTAGGGTTTCAAATTGCATAGAGAAATTTTACTGTTTTCTTTTCTCTTCTCTTCTCTTCTCTTCTCTTCTCTTCTCTTTTCTTTTTCTTCTGTATCCAAATGATAAAAATGTTATAAATTCTCTCTCAGATTCCACAAGTGAAAGGTTTAAGAGATTATGCGAGTAAATCATTCATCCCTCTTGAATATCCTGATGATAAAAGGGATCCCCTGGTGCAATATGAACTGTCAGGTTTGAATCTGAAACAGAGAATTTCTTTCAAGCTCCCTTTAGGGAATCTGCACATTTTACAGTGAATATTAGGATCACCTCTCTGGGCACAGAGAGGAAGCGAGAATGAGACCCTAAAGCCATAGAGAAGTTATCAGAAAGAGATAAACTGGTTTCCTTTTTTATTAAATTCTTCTATAACCAGCTTTATCACCTAGCAAGTCGCAAATTTCACAGGAGGTGACCCGTGCTTGCCCGCAGGCACCTCCTCCGCCACCTCCTTTTATTTATTTTTTATTTTTTGGTGCTATTAACCCCTGTCATCAGCATCGCCCCTTTGCACCCTTGTGCTGTGGCTCTCCCTGCCTGGGGACTTTGTGAATCAGGCGGCGTTTGCCCATGGAAATGGCCCAACAAAGATGCTGCTTTTAGCAGTTTTAAAACTGCAGCGGCCCCTCATGGTTTTTGTTGGCCTTCAGTTTGGGCTATAAACTACACTGGCTTTAGGGGAAGCACCCCCAAAATAGGAACATCCTGGACTGGAGCGATTGGATTTGGCAAGGTCTGCTCTATGACAGGGCGTTATTAGTTTAATTTCAGGCAATGTTTAGGAAAATTACACTAATCAAGAGGGCCTTTGTAAAATGAGTCCAAACGTCTCCGTTTTTCTACTTAATAGAAAGAATGTCAGCCAAAAAAAAAGAGTTGTTTGCTGAAAGTAAATCCTACAAGCTTGTCAGGACTGAGAGTCTCGTTTACTTTATTTAGAAACTGTTTCTTTGGGAGTTATGGCTGAGTTGCACTGTCCAAATAAGGTTCAGGGGAGTGAAAAACAGCTGTTTGCTTTATCGGCCGCGTTGCAGCATTTCTCTGCGGTGCCTCTCGGAGCTTGTGCGCGCTTTGATTTCCTCACCCTAGTGCTCAGCAGTAACAGTTGATTCAAGCTGGGGTAATTCTCACACTCACTCGCTTTTCGCCATTTATCGTTTCTGTAATTGTTGGTCCCTCTCTTTCTCCTGCAGCCCCCTATGCACCAGGGCTCTTTGGGAGCCTCCTGCGCTGGGCGCTGCCATTTAAGCGTGACGTATCAGGTCGTCAAGAAAAGGCCCCTGCAGTTGTGAAAGCAGGCGGTATTTTATCATCTCATCTAAGCTCTTTGCGTGCAAAGGAAAGGTAGTTTTCCAGGAAATTTGTTTTGCAGACCAGTTCTTGGCAAACCAGATGGTATCAGCGTGTTTATCTTCTCCATATGAGCTATGTGTGACAGTGAAGATACACACAGTCCTGGGAGTACATGCTCCTTTCTTCAACAGGACAGCGAGATTTAGTAGAGCCTTCGCTCATCTGCTTTTGGAAGAGTTTGAAAATCTATTGCATGTCATTAGTATCTCAGATTTCCAAGTGCCTTTGGAAAGGCTGCCCCAAGGCCTGTGGCGGGTACTCTTGCAGGGAACTTGCCCCTGCAGATAACCTGGTTCCTGTGCAGGGGTTGTGGTGGAGGGGCCAGAGGATATGAGGGAAGAGGAACTGCAGGGATGAGGAGAAGATGGATCCCTTGGTGCTCATCTCCCTGCCCACACCGCCGCGTTATCTTATCAGCGCCCTGAACCTGAAAACTGTTAGTCAGGGCCCCACTCCACTGCCAGGTGTCCTGGTTCTTCTCGTGTGTGCAAGAGGGGCTAAAAACTGGAGGGTCTAGAAATCAGATGCGAGTTACTTATGAAATAGCGGTGACAGCTTACCTAGGACTTTTCTGGACAGGAGTTTTGAACCCTGGCATCTAAAGTGGTAAAACGGGACTGTAAGGTAGTGCAGAAAAGGTTGTCCAAAGCAGCCCGAGGTGGCTCGTTCAGATAAAAGCCCTGCTGGAGCCTGGCCTGGGGTTGGCGGCTGTGAGGCCGGCAGACGGGGACGCGTGTCCTGCTGCCCTTGCAGAGCAGGGGCTGCTGGCTGCTTTCTCCTCACTCCTTTCCTCCCTTCTTCCCGCGAGATGATGCTCCTGCTTAAGCTCCAGCTCTTTGCCTCCCTTGACCGCCCAGGAATAAGATCAGCTCTTTCTGTGTAGGGTTTTAATGTCTTTTTAGATGAGCAATTTTAAGTTATGGATTAAAGAAAAACTGTGCTGGCATAGGGCATGAATTTAGGCAGATTTTACTATACTTATAAGCAGCATTAAATCATTATTTGATATCCTCCCTTCTCACCAAATAAAAATATATGTGTCTGTCTTTACAAATATATTTTGTGTGCGAGTCACACAGCGATAACATTACATGCAGTATAAAGACAGTAATAAAGCTGGTTGTAATGGTTATATGTACTTTTTCATGACCAAAGCGTTTTGCAGTTGGAGATGCCAGAAACGCATGCAAAGCCGTGATATCTTCGTGGCGCAGCGTGAGCCCTCGAGGCGCAGGGCAGGGTGGCTCCTCGGCTGCGGGATGGTTGGAAGGTCCCTGCTGCGGCTCCACGGCCTGCGGGTCGTGTACATGCAAAGCCCTCTTCCACCTCAAGTTGTCTGAGGGCGCTCAGCGCTTGCGACACACAGATCTTAAAAGTGCAGGTTTTCAAACATCCCCTGACTTTTACAGAGTGCGCGCAGTGAGTATTAAACAAAGCTCCCATCGCTGCGCACGGGCTGCACCTCCTTCCCTGCTGCGTGGCGTGACTCCTAAAAACCTTGTTTTTAAAGGTCGTGCTGTTTATGTTGGGTAGTACATAACGCAGTTCCACTGTAAATCAGAAACGTGCTTTACAGCCGTGCTGTCGCAGCGGGCGAGGGGCAGCACTGGACGGTGTCAGGAAGGCAGCGCAAGGCTGGTTATGGGCAGTTGTGGTGCTGCTGGCTGCAAGGGCAGACCTACACTGACATCCTAGATAGCAAGCACAGAGGCTTGACACACGCAGGGATGTTGCTGCTCATGTAACGTGCTGCTGGAGTGCACAGGAATCTGTTATGGGGTGTGCAGAAAACGCTGCAATTTCTATAAAACTCAGCTGTTTTCTCACTACTAAATATATCCTTTCCCTCTTGGTCCCTGTGCTAGATTGACCATTTGCCAGAATACTTGGGCATTATTACTGAGTTAGCAGAAGGTCATGTTAATACTTGTAGGACTGTTTTTTATTAAAAAGCTATCTTTTTGTTTAGTATATACAATTACCATAGCCCATAACATTTTAAGTATATAACTTGGAAAAAACGAAAGAAACATGTTACACGAATGTACAAATTAGAGAATTAAAACAATTCTTTTTTTCTTAATTTCTGTGTTGGAAGAGATGGATGATAAATTACTTTTAATAGTGAACCAATGGAAAGAAACAAAATGTTGCGGGGATAAAATATTTTAGAGGTGGAAACTCCATGATATTTTGGTATTTAATTTCTTGGCCACCAAATCTTGAAGAATATTTTATAGGGCTGATTACTGAGAATGCTCCTGGTTATTTAATGTATGTGAATATATGCAAGTGTTCTATTTTCCATTGCACAATGTGAAAATGTAGGATAAAATGTTTAAATGTGAGCAATCAGGAAAAAGCATATGAGTATGGACTATTCAGGTGAGCGTTAACAGGGGTATAAGGCAGCTAACGAAGTTCTCGCTCCTGCAGTCTGGGAGCATGGATTACGTGTTCCACCCAATGATCTCGTACATGAGTGCCCTCAAGTGCCTGGCTTCGTACGTAACTGTGTTTTTCCCGCTGTGCATCCTCTCCTCCTCAAGTGGCTGCTCTATGACAGCAGGGATATTTCTTCCATACAGTTCACAGTGCTCCAGGAACTGGATGCACCCTTGAGTAACACTGTCGCGTAGCGTTATCATGTGCTTCGCCATGTTCTCCAGCAAGGACAGGAAACACCTTTTGGCATAATACCATGTATCGGTGCCTAATTTTTTGTTGTATGGCTCTAGGCTTTTAATGACCCTTGAAATGCCAAAGTCGTAGTTCCCTTTTGCACAGTAAAGGGTACCGATGACTAGATTGACAATGCAGAGATGGTAGATCTTTTTATCCGGATCGTCGTAGGACAACTGCTCTTCCTCCTTCTCAATCTTCCTCATGAGTTCCTCGGCCTCCTCATTCTGGCTTGTCATGATGTAGGAAACGCAGAGGTTGGCTAACACGATCGCACTGACGTTCAGAATGTTATCATAGTGCTTTTTAACTATGGGCTCATAGAAGCCAATGGCTTCTTTGTACTTGTTTTCTTGCATGAAGAGCACGTGAGCCACGTTGAGCTTCCACACCTCGTGCTCGTTGCAGAACTCCACCGACTTGCGGAAGATCTTCTCTACCATCGTGTAGTTCTCCATGTCCCAGTAGATCTTTGCCTGGGCCATCAAGACAGGCACGTATTTCTCCAGAGTCTCATCGTACTCGTTTACTGCCTTTTTTACGGCTTCATCGTCCCGGTTTTGCCTAGCTTCCTGCACCTGCTTTGTGAGTTTTCTTAGCTGCTCCGTCAGCGTCCCTGCTGACTCGTCCAGCTTGTGGAAAGCCTCTTCGGGAGCCGTCTGGCATGTTATGATGGCGTCAAGGAAGTTGTACAGATAGGGCGTGAGCAGCTTGTAGGTCAGATGGGCGTTCTCAGCCAGCACATCGGCCGCCAGGTCATAGTACTGGTGCTTGCAGTAGAGCAGCAGCAGGTTGCCGAATGTCTCTGGCGGGCAGGGGTTCTGCAGCAGGAGAAACTGCAGCTTCTCGAAGCCCTCGCTGGGCTGGCTGTCCATGTTCATGAGCGCCTGGTTGTGCAGCGTCACAGGGTCCAGCTCCTCCTCAGCGCGGGGCGGCATGTCGGTGAGCGCCTCCCGCGCCGCCTCCACGTTGTGCAGCTGGTACTCGATGGCTGCCTTGAGGTTGAAGGCCTCCACGAGGGCAGTGCGGTGCAGCAGCAGCGTGTTGCCCACACTGCGCACGTCGATGCCTTCCGTGCCCATGCCCACGGCGAGCTCGGGGTGCTGGCGGATGCCGCGCTCGATGATGTCCGAGATGTGCTTGAGGGCGGGCGCGTACTGCTTGGCGGCGTAGCAGCACAGCGCCATGTTGTAGGAGAGCTCGGGGCAGTCGCCCAGCACCTGCATGGCGCCCGAATTAAAAACAAAAATCAAACTTCCCCATCCCAGTCCCAGACTTACCCACCAAAAAGAATTAATAAATTGGACCATGGGGAGCAAAACTGAAGGAGATGTCTATAGTATTTCATAATAATATGTGAGGGAAATTTTTAAAAGTACAAGAACTTCAGCTATGATTAATCCATTGGAAATAAGAACACCACAGGTCAAAGCAGATTGCAAAGGAATGAGCTAAACAGGCTTCAACATACAAGCTTTCCTTGGCACTGATTCAAAACACTATCTTCCCCATTGCATGCCAGCATTTCAAATAAAGAATGTAAGAGGACAGCAGAGCTGGCTCAAAATGCTGTGGAAGAGAAATATTTTCCAGAAAGTATCAGAATGTGCACAGAAATAAAAAGACAAAACAATATAAGGCTATCTTCATTCGGAGCCAAGAGAGGTGCTAGATGGGTAGATGGGTACATGGGCATACTGAGGAATACAATCATTATTTTTTTTAGATATATGTTTCATCTGTAAGTCGTAGAAACCATTTATTTCCACATGAAGGTCTTCTTCCTTCCCTTCCCTCAGCCCTTTCATTTGAGTCAGCCACCCCTGACAGTGAGGTATGGAACAGGAGGCTGCAATTCTCAGAGTTGTTAATTAAAAAAAAAAAAAAAAAAAAGCCAGATCAGCATTGTTTAATCTGCTAAACAAAAGAGTAGGGGCAAGAGCTTAAAGGCAGCAGGAGCGAGGTGCAGTCCAGCGCTGTGCGTTCGGAAAGCCATGGGACTTGCCTTGGGTGGCACCTGCGCTTGTGCCTGTGCGGGGTGCTCCCTGCGCCGCTGTGGGATGCAGCGCCCGGCATGCTCGTACAGCAGTAATGAAGTAGGAGGTAGTGCAGGAAAGAAATGAAAACAAGCTATATTTGGTGTGTAGCCCCATACTGTCATGTTCAAGTCATCCAAACCTTGAAGTCTCGTTTCTGCTCATTTTTAGCTTACATATAATTATTTTGTTCAAAAACATTTAGGTAACCTTATTAGTAAAATCTTTAGCTTCTTTGATTATGCCAATATAACGTTTTTGCCCAGGATACCGAAAACAATGGAAGTGTCTGTTAGGTTTTGTATAACCACAAACTAATCCTAATGTAAAACCTCACTCAATACATGAAATATCTAACTGTGACTAAAACCCTCTTCTTTTATGAGGGGAAAATAGGCATGCAGCCTGCAGCTGGAAGCACTGCCCTGGATGGGTTGGTCTAGTCAGGCACTGCTCGTTGCAGCCTCCAGAAACCACTTGGGAGCCCTAGCACCCTCTTCTTTTATGAGGGGAAAATATGTCGGCGTGTCGCGACACGGCGGCTGGAGGCAGGAGCAGGCAGCGAGCGCGGTCCAGCCTTGGGAGGGCGGAGCGGGGGCAAAACAACGCCCTGCGCTCCTGCGGGGCCCAGCCTGCGGCACGGCGGGCCTTTCTGGGGCACGTCCCGGGCGTGCGTTACTGCTGCACGAGCTCCAAGCGCCTTCAGGGAGGATGTCAGCCCGTGAGGGCCTGCGGACGCTCCACGCGCTCACCACGGGAATTATAAATGTTTATTCAAGGCAAGATTTCACTAGCAGTGGAAGCAAATGAGCGAGGATGCTGCTGTTGCTCAGACAACGTTGGCACGTTGGGCATCTGCAGAGAAGGACCAAGCAGGGCTCAGTTGGCACTGTCCTAGGTAACAGGGGACTTTCTGTCCTGTTCTCCAGGTGTCCTCTAATTCGTCCTCTCATGGTCTTATATTTCATACATGATTGCAGAAATAAGCAGGTATCAATGGATTTTGATCTCTGCTTATGCAGCGGCCAGGGAAATAAGCGAGAGAGAATCCAGGCTTAATTTATACAGAAATCTCTCTCATGCAGCTCTCCCTTGGAATTGCCTCACAAAACTGACTGAAGTATTGAAAAGTGTTTTAGTATCAGAAGAAAATAATGAAAAGCAGTACACTATACATCAAGCTCATAAACACAAGGTAAAGATTGCTTCCCACAGCCTTAACTATGAGATACTTGAAACAGACATTTCCTTAGTGCACTGTGAGCTTCCACAAGGAACCTTGTTTGTAGCTTTCTAAGCTGAGTGTCGAGAAAATTTTAGTAGGTTCTAACATCTTTTCCCCCTAGATTGAGCTCTATCGCTCTTGGAGACGAAATTCAGTGCCCCGACATCCTGCTATGACTCGCTGATTTTGGCAGGGTTGCTTCATTTTGCCCAGGAGTGATTTGCTAAAGATCTAACCACGCGCTCTCGTTTTCTCCCTTGCGACACGGGAACAGGGCCATAGCGTTAGTCAGCACTTCCTGAATTCTGACCCCCAAAAAGAAAGATACCAAAAGACAGGAGAAATAGATGGAGGCAATTACCAACCGTCACTTGATTGATGGTTGACATTGTTAGGGCCTCAACTGGATGTCAGGCTGCAGCGAGGCCGAACTCCCAGCTCTGCCGGTGGGTGTTGCTATGGGCAACTGCGCACTGAAGCCAATAAAGAGGAGAGGAAATGAGGGGAAACTCAACCTTGGGGAAGCTGCAGGGTATGCGCTATAAATTACGTTATGCTTAGCAGTATGCAATATCAAAATTCAGGAAGGCCCTGCGCAGCTTCCAGCAGTACCATGCCAGTCCATAGCATGTGTTTCTCCCATAAAGAACATACTGTGTGCTTTATAGGGCTAGCTGCTGCTTCCCCTGCATCTGTCTTAATGCAGGCAAGAAAGTAATAGAAGAAACATTTCCATTTGGCGCGTGTATTCAGTGCTGTGCAGTCTCAGTTTCTGCTCCTTGTCTGCTGCTCGCTAACAGAGAAATGATGCAGCTCGGTTGTGTACGGACAGATTGCCTTACAGCGCCGCTGCAGTTTCCAGCTATGCATGTGGCCAGTAGCACAGAGGACTTTTTTGTCTTTTTCTTCTGCATATTTGTTTTTATCAGACTCTCCGGCGGGTGTAGTCAGCTTTTCATAGGGGCTCACAACTCGTTTTCCTTAGATGTGTAAATTGAAGATCTCTTTTTAGCATCTGGTCCCTCAGGGCAGGTTCCAATTTCCGTTGCGTTGGTGCCAGGTCAAGGCAGTTCCACTGAAGCAAATGGAGTCTGGCAGAGGTGTAAAACCAAGAGCTGAACCCAGCTCTTACTTCTTGTGCAACTTTTACCTGCAGCCAGGCAATCTTAGATTTAAAATCACATTTTTCATAGAATACAAACGCTTTCTTTTCCCCCTGCTACAAATGGGAACTCCTAAGTGTTGCAACACGAATCCTCTCGCATCTGGTCAGCCCGTAGATCTTGCTGCGCTGGTGATCTCTGTGCAAATGGAGAGCCCAAGCTGCACACAGGCTGGTGTCACTGCGCACAACCAGACCCGCTCGGTTTTGAGAGCCACCGCGTCTGGCTGCGCTGCTCCGGCACCCGCACCCCCGGCACGTACGTGTGGGCCGTGGCTAGCACCTCTGCGGGCTCTGGTGCCATCTGAGGTTGTCCTGAAAGAACAGCAAGAGGAGCAGGAGGTCGTCGCTCCCGTGTGGTGTGTTCTTTCCTGCTCCAAAATGTGCATTTCAATTGGGAGTCTTAACCAGAAAGGCCTATCCACGGTAATGTAATGTAAACCTGAAGCACAGGGCAACATATCACATTTTTTATTTTTATTTTTTATTTTATTTTCATTAAAGTTCATTAATCTTTTCCTCTGGGGCTCCTATAACTTTAAAAAAAAAAAAAAAAAGGAATGCATTAAAGGAGTATATGTAAAATACCCCAACCCCCAACCAAAAAAAAAAAAAAAAATTACCATGCAATATTTTGCCTTTATACAGACTTCCCCTTGCAGGGGGAAATGTACTGCATTGTTAATATGAATTTCTCAGGAAAGCAGGGAGAAGTTGGTATTTTTAAAGATAATAAAGTTTGTTTTTAAATGTAGCAAAGGTAGGCAATTCTAAAGGCCCTGATCAATCACTAAGAAGCTTTGTTGTAAAAAAATACGTCTTTAGAATACAAAGCAGCTGCTGAGAACATTCAGGCATAAAAGGGGAAGGAAGAGTGAGAGAGGGACATCACAAAAGCGGGCATAATTGATTCATAACATGTACTAAAGAGATGCAAAACAACCAGGTAATTACACACTGCGCTCTGCTCCTGCAGCTCTTGCATATGAATCGAGCAACCTGCATCCCAGTTCTGCTCTGTATTATTAATTTTAGTAAGCCGCAAGTTCTTATACTCAGGCTGTTGGTGGCTTTTGTGTGGTGTTTACAGCGGCGGCTCGGACGTGGCGGAGCTGAGCGAGCGCTCGCTGCGCTGCAGAGTCCTGTCCTCCGCGTCGCTCCCCATCCCGGCACGGCCGCGCCGCAGCCCGCTAAGCCTCCAAGTGAAGCAACTGCCGCTATCGAGATCATATCCAACTAATTAAGCATGTCTCTGAAAGCAGGTTTTTAAATGGTGAGCCTAAGCGTGCGCAAGCCTTTCAGACAGCTCTTGTCGTAAACCAACGCTGACGTTCCAGCCTTAATTTATGTCTTCCAGAGACATGGTAAAGCTAGCGGAGAAGGAGGACGAGGGTGCTGCCTGGGAAGAAGGTCCGTTCTGGTGCAGCTCCTTCCATTTAGCTCTGTTCACTGCCACAGAGTCCAGCATGGGCTTCAGTTTCACATTCAGCTTCACCAGGCACTGGAAAAAAGATTTAACAAGACGGGAAATATGGACAACGTTCCCATGTTTTCTGATTCACAGTCTAGAGGGTGAGCGGGCAAAGGGGGTCTAATCTGCAGGGCGCAATGTGCCCCATTCCTACATTAGAGAGAGTCGGGCACCTCCTCGAAGGAACACCCAGATGTGAGGGTAACAGCAGTTCCCCCCAGAGCAGTCATGCAACATGCTCAGTTTCAGGACAGAGGCAGTTCCTGCTGTGTGACTTCTTCATTGGTAAGAAGTGGTGTCACCTCAAAGTTGGGTTTCTTGCTTTCTCTGACAGTGTGGGATGTGTGTATTCGCCATTACAAAAAAGTTGGTGCCGGCAAAAGAAAAGAGAGAGAAAAAAAAAAAAGGAGTGATGGAGGACACAACAGAAGTTGCCCTGAAAGTGCAGAAAACTGGAAGGAAATGAGAAGGGAAGGGCCTGCATCTTTGCAGTTGGTCTTTTTTATATTTTGCTTTAAATAGCAGGGTTAACAGCAACCACTTTAAATGGCCCCAGAAGCCCAGACACCACTAAAGAACTGCTTTTTTTATAGCTACCCTGCAAACCATGGGAGCTAGTGAAGTACATCTTGGTAGATTTTTAATTGAGCTATTATATGGTAATTAAGGGTTAATGGCCTGATTTTAAGATGTGCTGAAAACTTGCAGTTTCAGTTGACTTCAGTAGGAAATATGAAATGCTCAGCACTTCCAAAAATCATGCCATAACTACCCTATTTGTGTAGAACTTGAAGCAAATCCACTTCAAATTATTCCCTTGGAGTAGGGATGCAGCATCCATCCACCAACAGCTAATGCTAGAGCTCATGGAAGAGCTTGCAAGATGTTTTCTTCAAATATTTTTTCCAGTATACTGCCACTTTTAAAGTATTTTCTCTATGTTTGAAAATCATGGCATTTTGAACCTCTCTAGGCTTGTTGAATGGATTCAGGAAGCATCTGCACAGTTCTACTTTTGTTTCATGTTAACCATGGTTATCTTATGAGCTGCATACACATTTTTAAATCCAGGAGTAAATATATATGTTTCCTGTAGAAGTATTATGAGTATTACAGAGTCTAATAACCCATGTGTTAACAGAGGTTACCAATTAAGTAACAAGTTTACTTTATTTACTCTTCATAGTTAACTAATACCATTAAATGCAGCTAAAACAAATAAAAAGGAGTATTTAAGAAAGAACAAACCGTTTCTTTGATATTCAGTTTTACTGCAGCACAAGTGATTAATTCTGTTGAATGCTTACAAAATATATAGAGTAATTTTAGGAAACTTTATCTTGTTGCACATTAATTTCGACAAGGGTTACTTGACAGTGCAGATTTTGCACTTGGTCTATTAAATGTCTTTATTCAGACATTGATTTGATGTTTAAACTACTGCTTACGTATTTAGTATCTTTTCGCTTTGGGACTCCTTTGTTCTGATCTGGTCTTTTAATTAAACCCACTACTATAATTCCTATGGAAATTAGCTTTTATTTTATTTTATTCCAGCTACCAAAGCATTTCACTAGGACTTTTCCAATAGAAAGTACACTGATTGGATTTTATTTCTACTGGAGATGTAATTAGAAACTCATTTGATTACTATATTTCTGGCTATTTTAATTATTAAACTCCTGCAATCAATTCCTTTTATGAAGCTTCTGGGAAATGATCTCCAGCGCCACAAATTTCTCTCCCTTCTGGCAGGTTCTCCAGCATTTACTGAATTACCAAAGTACTTGTGGCACCCGTTCCTGAACCGGATTAAACCAAGTCCCTGCTGGCGCTGCCGCGTTCGCCGTGCGCCGCCCGGGCCGCTTTGCGAGCGGATCATCCAGGTCGGTACCTGGGCGCTCTCGCCCTGTTCATCACCCCTTTCAGTGGGAAAGGGACTGGTCCTAAGCAGCCCCGGGTGGCAGCAGGGAGAGGGACTCTGATAGCAAACCCTTTGGGAGGGGCGGGTGGCACCCCCTTCCCCACAAACATGGGGGTTTGGGTTTTGTTTGAGGTTCTCATCCAAATATCGACCGCTTCTGACCTTGCCTAACTTGCGGGCTTTGACAAGATTACAGCTCATGGAAGTATGGTTGCGGGTCTGATATTTGTAAAGTGAGTTTATAGAACAAGACCATATAAATTCAGTTTTATTACTGAGCACATATCAAAAAGTTATAGGTCGCAGTGTTCACTCTTCTTTGGAACCCAGTGGTTTCTAATGAATCACTTTTATTATATAGGCAGTTTCTGAGTTGAAAGGGAAGACTAGTGACCGCGAAGCTGCAGGGATGAATTGAGACCTGGCATGAGCGCATGAAGCATTGCTGAAGTCAGGGGAGTCGTGACCAGGCAGGGCAGAGCTGAATTGGATGCCCGCGTTTTGCTGAAGCGGCTTTCGTGGGAGAACGCGCGGGCCAGGGGCGAGCCATCTATTTGCGAGTCCTTGAACTTCACATGAGTTCAGGTACACTGGAACCTATACTGTAGTCATCCATGGACTCGATCTTCATAATGAAAATTGATGAAACATGTCTTGAAAACCCCAAACATACATACCCTTATGCCCATGGACTAAAACCAGTAAGATCACTAAACTTTGCCCTTCAGTAGGTCCTCTGCAGAAGATAAGGGGGTTAACTTCCATGAGCCTATGGCTGTTTGTGTATGTGAAGACTGTTTTAGGGCCCTATTTAATTACTATTTTCCTGAAGAAATAACTGTATTTGGGAGGAAGCTGGAGTCACAGCAACAAGCAGCAGCAGCAAGTCTCCTTGCACTCGATGCAGACCTTGTTATTTTTCTAGGAGTCTAGGTAGTTGAGTGTACGACACATCAGTGCATTGCTTTTGCATTGCAGCCACAGCAATTTTTCTGGTGCCTAAAGAAATAACTAGATGAAATAATTAATAGCATTGACTTCCCTCATAGAAAAGATGAGTTTCTGCTAGTGTGTCTTTCATAGAAATTGTTAGCAGTGCAGAAGGGAGCCAATTGTGACTGGCAATGGATGCACAAGTGGTCAGCTCTTCTGGTATGAGTTAGTGTCATGTTTCTTTCTGGCCATGATATAATAGCAAGAATAATGTTGTATTCCTTTGTAAATAACACGTAACATGGATGGATGAGTCAAGTTTCCCAACTGGTAAAATGTGCCCTATACTTCAGGGAAGAAAATACATGCTGAGGTCCTGGTAAGAAAGTGTGCCCTGCCTGTCATCAAGTGCCAGGGGAAAGGAGGATTGGGCACCTGCTCACGTAGCTCAGCTGCTGTGTTGCTGTAGTCGCCAGACAATTTCCCTCTCAGCCCACTGGAATTGCACATAACAGAGGGTTTGTACACAACAGCTACTGGATCATGAGCAATGTCTTATTTGGCTCTGCTGTGGTTTGATTCTGTATTTAAGGCTTGTGCAAAAGACAGAACATTTCTACCCCTTTTCCTTTCAACTCTTTAACCGAGGAGCCGATCGATGTCTTCTGCCTTGCTATTAAATGGATTTTGAAAAACTCTTCAAACCCTATGAGTTTTATATCCTTATTTAGTTCTTTGTATCTGCCCTCAGCTGGGAATTCTGCAGGCAACTGTGATTCTGTTGTGTTAAACACTTACTTGAAGCGTTTCATCCATCATCATTTCTAGGCCTTTTCTGATGCAATGTAGTTTGTGCTTTGTCTTTCTTGAAAACTGAATGCCTGTTAAATTATCCATTTATCTTCTTTGAGATTTGCTGTACGATTTGAGTTGCCTCTATTGGCTGTCTCTTTTACCTTATCTGCCAACTTTTCAATCTACTTCCTCAGCTCTTTATATGCATTTCCATACATGACTGCATGTCTTCTGCAATACATGTGCAGATAATTCTATGTAAACTAGCAGCAGAAATTGCAGTATTAGTATTAGTTAGTCACTTTTTCTCACAGATTATGGTGAAAGTCTTTGATGAAGCCTAGCTATTGACTGAAGTCACTAGCAAATGTTGCTTCTTCCCGCCTTCTCCCCCGCAATATTTTCCAAAATGTTTTGGGCTGATGACAGTATTTTCAGTTGAGAACTGTGTGGGTTTCCTTTTTGACATTAGATGAACTAATTGATAACTTTAAGAAGTACTCTCATTTGAAGGGTTAAATGCTTCTGCTGACTTTTCCTCTGAGCAGTTTATGCAACCATGTAAATTCCTCTAATTGTCAATAGTCATGCAGTGTCCCATGACTAATCTCACCAAATTACAAAAATCTGAACAAAACCAATACCTTCTGTTAATTCCAAATGTAAAAAGCCCTCACTGATCTTCGGAAACAAACAAACAAACAAAGAGGACCAGGATCTCCCTGCGATCTGTATAGACTCAAACATCCTTGCTCCAAAACCATCTAAATTATCTGTATTACAGTGTGAAATAGTGATTGACTTAGAGGGGAAGGGCACATAGAAGCATTCCATTTTCCTTTCCTAGTATTTCTTTTCTTCACCTCTCTCCAATAATGCAGAAGTAGCAGAAATGAACTGACTCTTAAACTAACAGTGCAAGGTAATAAAAAGCTGCTGTTGTCTATTCCATTCCTGGGGCCTGGAAAATTCTCATAGTATCTGCATTTTTCCAAAGTTGGAGAAAATTAATTCTAGGTTGATTTGTTTAAGTTCATCATTAGTAGAAAGCTGACGAGGGAGCAGAAGTGCTGAACCCAGCTGGGTTCCTGCCTCACGGCTGCCGAGATCCTTTTGCCGTGCTCCAATCTCCCATCCCAGGGCCAAACATGATCCTTGGCTACCAGCTCCCCCAGGCCAGTCATTTGGCATAACTAACCTGAGGAAGGTTCTTCTGCAGCAAATTTCTTACAGCCCCAGCAGAATGCGCTGCACCTGCTCCTCCTTGGAAAGCAGGGGCTAAACTTTCTCTAGGGATTTCAACAGAAAGTGAAACTAATTTAATTGCCGATTTCTGTACAGCTGGAGCGCATCACTACCTGCCTTCCACATCCTTGCC